CGGGGGGGGGGAGAGGAAGATTTAAAAACCTCAACTTTTTTTTTTTTTTTTTGAAGCTCTTACAACAAGAAAATGGAGGGGACACATCTGGGAGGGAGGAGGGAGGGAGGTTTTGGTGATGGGACACAATAACTAACTACATTGTATATTGACAAAATAAAAATAAATAAATAAAATTAGGAGATAGCTATCTGTTCCTCTGCAAAGGAACAAAGTCATTTACAGCACAGGAATTAGAAGGAAAGGCTCTGATTTTTCTGGGATTTGTTATTTTTTCCATTGGTTATAACAGCAATAACCATCCTTTTCACTGTATAAAGCCTCTTTGCATACACTTCTCTCAATATGGCCTCTACTGTTAACCTTGTACTATACATAGAGCAAGTGTTACTGACATTGTTTCCATTTTGCAGCTGGGGAAACAGATTGAGGAAGATTAATGACTTTGCTATAGTCACACAGCTACCAAATGGGAGAGCCTGGGGTTTCTGACTCCAATCATGTGCTCTTCCCAGTATATCTCACCAGATAAGTTCTTAATCTGTTCTGTTCAGTGTTGCTAAGATTCTTGTGGAAGAATAACATGGAAAAAATATTATTCTCCTCCAGCAACAAGATATGCATAATATAAGCACATAGAAGAGGATGAATTCTCCGAAGTCTCATAAACAAACTAAGCAAGACGTTCTGAGTTATTTGTACATACATATTTATGTGCTGTATGTGCATAATTTTTAGGTATTATTCCTCATGATCGATGTGTCTGTCTGTCTGTCTGTCTGTCTGTCTGTCTATCTATCTATCTATCTATCTATCTATCTATCTATCTATCTATCTATCTATCTATCTATCTGCTTGTTTTGCCCCTACTGTTGAATGGTGGATTTAGTATTGTAGGCTGGCAGTGTCCTCAGCACTTTTAAGATTTTATTGCACGGTCTTTTGGTCTTGTTAATTTTGAAAAGCCTTTCGTTATTCTAAATTATTTCTTTGCAGGTAGTCTGTATTTTCTCCCTTGTAACTTTAGAGATTGGCTCTCTATCTTTAGTGTTTAGCAGTCATATTATAATGTATCTAGATGTAAACTTATTTTTATTTATCTTAGGCTTAAATTAGAGAATTAATGTCTTTTATTGACTCTGGCAATTCTCAGCCATTATCTCTTTAGTGCTTTCTTTCAATTCCTTTTTTCAACCTTTTATTTTGAAATAACTTTAAACTTACAGGAAAGTTTTAAAAATAATACAGAAAGGTGTGTGTGTGCATATATGTATATATATGAATATTATTCAGCAATGAAAAGAAATAAGTACTGATACATGCTACAATATAGATGAACCTTGAAAACAATATGCTAAGTGAAAGAAGCCAGATACAAAAAACCACATGTGGCATGATTCCATTTATAGGAAAGATTTAGAAAAGGCAAGTTTATTAAGATGAAAAGTAGATTTGTGGTGGTTTAAGTTTGGGGAGGATGGGGGAAAATGGGGAGTGAATAATGTTTATGGGTTTTTTTGTTGGAGGATGAAGATGTCTTAAGTTGATTGTGATGGTTGTACAACTTTGTGAGTATACTAAAAACCATTGAATTGTATACTTTACTTAGGGAATTGTATGGTGTATGAATTATATCAAAAAAGCTATTATTAAAACAAAAGAAAAAAAGTACGGAGTTCTTGTATATTTTCCACTCTTCCTCTAATGCTAACATCTTGCTTGCATACAGTTTTCAAAACTAAGAAATTAATATTGGTGCAGAGCTGTTAACTACACTATGGACTTTATTCAGATTTCACCAATTTTCTCACTAATATGCTTTTTCTGTTTCAGGATCCAATATAGGATCTCACATTTTGTTGTCATGTTTCATAACTCTCTTCCAATCTTGTTGGTTCTTTCTTCTCCTTAGCTTTCATGATCTTGATATTTTTGAAGAGTCCTGGTCAGTTATTTTGTAAAATATCCCTCAGCTTGAGTGTGTGTGACATTTTCTCATGACTAGATTGTGGTTATGCATTTTTGGTAAGAATATTACAGAAGTAATGTGCCTTTCTCAATGTATCATATCAGGGGATACATGATGTTGATATGTTTCATTAGTAGTCTTGTTCACCTTAACCTTGATCACTTGGTTAAGGTGATGTATGCTGGGTTTATCCACTGCAAAATTACTATTTTTTCTTTTGTACTTAATAAATGTCTTTGGTAGAGATACTTTGAGAATATGCAATTGTCTTATATGTTCTCCACCTTTTGTGCATTAATTTTGGCATCTGTAAAGCTAGGCAACTATGCCAATTGTAGGATTACAGCAATTCATAACTAAAGCCAAAATGTTTCATTATTTTAGTTATACTAAGTTTCCACTTGTATTGTCAGGGCTAGAGCTCAGACCCTTCAAACACATTGTGCTCAGACCCTTCAAGCTCATTGTACAGACTGGGTCACAAACCCTTCACATGCCAGGCTGGGTCACCAGACCCCTCACATGCAGGTCCATGCTAGGTAATTGGGAATGATCCTGGGAGCCATTGGCAGACGACACGAGCTCAGTCCTCAGCAGCAGCAACAGCTCCAGCAGCAGTAGCGGCCGCCCTGTGGCTCCCCTGGGGACATCCCGGGGTTGGGGGGGCCCTGTGGATCATAGCCGCTCATCCTTTATACTTAAGCCCATAATGCAGGGCACGTGGGTGCACATGTGTATTTATATCAAAAGCTTGGCAATATTATGAACATCTGAGGAGCCCTGACCGTTTATATTTACTTTCCCTACAACATCTATCAACACATCTTGCCTATAATAATTATTCCTGTGATGTTTGCTTAATAGTGATTTTCTCATTACTTCTACATTTATTAATTGGAATTCTTCTGTAAGGAAGAGCTACTCCTCTCTCATTTATTTATTTATTTATTCATTCATTCATTCAATTACTTATATTATTGTGGGCTGATGGATATTTATTTTATGCTGTGAATTATAATCTAATTACTGTTGTTTTCTGTTGTTCAAACTATTCAAGTTTTGGCCATTGGGAAGTCTTTCTGTTTGGCTCTTGTGCTCTTTCAACAAGGGCACATTCTTTTTTGAACATTTCCTTACTTTCTGGCACAGTAATGTTTTTCCACACTTATATTTTTCCTATCTCAACCTTGGAATCAACCACTTCTACAGTGGCCATTCTAAAACTAAACTCTTTTTGGAACTCTTAGTAAACATAAGAAAAAACACTTTATTTAATGATCCATGACTTGGAACTTCTTATATTTTGTAAGTCTTATCTCTCTGGGCTATATTTAGGGTAACTTCCTGTTAATTGGGTTAATAATTTCCACAACTATATTTTTTATTTCTACAGATTCTGTTTTTTTTTTTTTTTCTTTTGTCTTTTTTGTGACTGGGAAGGGGATCGCAACCCTTGGCTTGGTGTCTGCACTGCGCTCAGCCAGCGAGCACACAGGCCATCCCTATATAGGATCCGAACCCGCAGCGGGAGCACCACTGTGCTCCCAGCGCCGCACTCTCCCGAGTGCGCCACGGGGCTGGCCCTGTTTTTTTTTTTTCAAATTTGCCTTTTCTTTTGTATCATGTCATATTTTCTTACTGGTAATAAAATTCCTTGTCTTAAGTCTTTAATTATGTTAAGTACTTTTGTATTACCTTCTACTTGTTTTTCTGTGAGTCATTGGGGGGTTTGTGTTATATGAGTATACTTCCAGAGGGGTCCAGGAGCCCCTAGATATCTATTTTCTCAATCATTTCAGGTGTGGCAATCATGTTGCTGGAACCGGAAGACAATCTGTTTTTTGAAAACAGACTAGTCATATGCTAATGATCAGGAAAGGCAGAACAAGCCAATAAAGGCCAGATTAGTCCAATATAGTTTGACAGATGACACAGGTAAGAAAGCTAGTAGTTCTGTTTTTCATCCACTCTATCCCCCAACTTCCGCAAATGTGCTCCTTCTTCCAGTCTTCTTTTCTTTTTTGTTGCTACTATTCACCCAGGTCTCTAGGCCCCAAACATCACACTTTGCAGTAAATTCCCCAGGTTCTTTTAATTCTTTTATTCTCCATCTCAGATTACCCATCCTGCGGTGTTCCAGGGCCATCAGTACTTTAAGTACCTATAATCTGTTATACATTATTACCATGCTAGGTGAAAGGGGAACAAGAATTGTAAGACATGGTTATTGTCTTTTAAGAACTTAATATCTAGTTGGGGAGATGATTTCCATACATGAAAATAGTGAGTAATACCAGACAGTATATAATTAAATACCAAAGTGGGTGGCACAGAGTTTTAAGTGTTAGAGGGTGGAGGAAAGAAAAGGGGAAAATGAGGGGTTGAGTTTTAAGAGAAAACTGAGGAAGTGGGATTTAAACTAGGTCTTGAAACAATATAGATTGGAATTGGATAGGTATTTAAAGTGAGGAGAAAGCATGAGCAATTAGCGAGTTTACTGAGCATAACATTTTGGGAAAACTTTGGAGACTGTTTATGTGTTAGGGACTAGTGAGAAACAGGAATTAGAGACAGAGAAAGGTGATGACTGACTTTGGCTGAGCTTACCAAATGAATCTTTCAAGGGTAGCTTTTTGAGTTTTGGTGTTCAACTCAGAAATCTCTAGAGGCTGCCTTTTCTTTTTGATTCTGGTCCAAGCTGCTTTGGTATTCCAGGTACTCTGTGATCCACCAGCCTTTTGCCACCAGTGCTCATGCTTTTTGTGCCTACAGCATGCTGTTTTGTATTTGATTATGCTTTCCATTTCCGTGTGGTGTGTCTGTGTGTTTTTTGTCCATTCCTTCTTCAAGTTCCTTCTTCAAGACTTGTCACTTTGTTAACCCTCCCGGGTGAATCCCACCAACTGACATATCTTTCCTCCTTGGATTCTTCTTGAAACTATTTTCTGTTAAGAATGGTTCAAAATCAAATAATGTACTTTTTGTTTTCCAATAATTTAGAATGACATACGTTTCTTTTCCTTTTCAATAAGGTGGTAAGTTCTTTGAAAGGCTAGGTTATGTTTTATATTTTAGTGTTCTTCTTAGTACTGTGTACCACTGTGGGTGTATACTTGGTGTTGATTGGTAGCTTTTAAAGAATTGATTTATTTTTTATTTCAAATACTGAAGAATTGTAGTATTAGCGTTACTTCTTTGTGTAAATGTGCCTACTGCCATGCCTGGCCTATAGTCCTGCCCTTAATAAATGTTAGTTGAATCCACATCACATAGTGGATCCCAAATCAAAGATCATTTATTATTCTGCTCTTTCATGGAAAGTAGAAAATAGGAGCAAAAGCACTGAATCTAAGTTTTCTGAGAGATACTCTTTTTGCTGTCTTTTCCTTTGAGCTGCTCCTTAATCTGTATCCTTAAGTATACATAATTCTTTGACATCTTTTCACTTACCACCTCTTGTAGTTTTTCTAAATAATTTATGTTTGTAGATAGAGATAAATCATGTGTATTAATTACAGCTTAAGAAAAGAGATTGTAGTATTTTAGAAAGATTAATCCTTATTAAATGCTATCTAATTGATCTGTTTTGGCACTCTTCCTGCTTGTTTTAAAATTTTAATAACATATCAGTCAGTGAAAAAAATAATCCATTATAGATGAAATTGAACTTAGTAGGACATTTGAATGGCCATAAAACCAGATATTGAAATGAACTAAGAACACTTGGTTTAAGGAAATTAGGCCAAGTTAAAAATGGCATCATATTTTTGTTGGGCTTTAGATTTTATCACTTAACAGCCTCTTAAAAAGTCTGAAGTGAGTTTTAAAATGTCTTAAATTATTTTAAATAATAAAATTATTCTCCTACCTCCTTTAAAAACTTGTAAGATGATTTGAGAAGGCTTGGTTAACATATATATGTTAACACCACAGTTTTCTGAGTGGCAATGAATGTAGTTTCAGCAGGGCTGAAAAACTACAAGAACTCTGGATACCAGGCATTATACATGTGCTAGCAGTAGCTTACCCTTCTTTATTTCAGGAAATCCTTCTTTAACAGTGTATATAGCTAACCTGGAGTTGCGCATGAGTGCAGGGTGTGTGTGTGAAAGAGAGAGAGAGTGAGAGAGTGAGCAAGAGAGAGAGAGAGTGTGTGTGTGTTATTTACTTGGTTAACCAAAACAAAGTAGTAAAAAAGCAATTGTGTGAGGCAGGCTGGATCTTCTTCAACATTTATATTGTTTTAAATGATTTCTTTTGAGGGGTGGTAACTTATCAGATCTTAACTTCTAGGAATGTAATTTTTCTTCTCTGAAGTTTTCTTATAATAAAAGATAGTACTCTTAACTAATGGCTTTATGTGAGTTGGAGCGCTGTTAGATATTGACTTTTTTTTTTTTGCTTCATAGGTTGTTTGCATTCGCTCCACTTGGAATGCTCTGTCTCCAAAGCTGAGTTGTGACACAAGACCTCTCATTCTGAAGACCCTGAGTGAACTGTTTTCTCTGGTTCCTTCCTTAACAGTCAATACAGCTGAATATGAGGTATGCATTTGGAGCTCAACAAGTTGCCTGTTACTACATTGGAAAGCCATGTAGTAATAGTTTGGATAAATATTTTGGATAAATATTTAATTTTTTGTTTGACAAAATCCTTTAGCATTTTTTGTTCTGAGAAAATCTTGGTATCTTTATGGACCCTTAGGAGTAGGAGGATAGCTACTCTTACCAATTCTGTGGCTTACCAAGTTTTTATTATGAGAATATGGTCAAGATTTTAAAAGATAAATATGTAGACAAAAGTGTTTTTAAAATAATAGAGATCACAAAGCCAACAGTTTAAAATCTTTTTGTTTTATGTTCTAAAAATGTTTTATGTTCTAAAGAATAAGTTACAAAGACCTTAATAAAGACAGGACAGACTTTTCCAATTTTACAAGTTTCTTGGTTTTTACCATTATAATGAGTTGAAACACTTGGTGGAAGATTCTTTGCTTTAAAATTCATATATCGCTGCTTAATATTTTCTTCATTATTTCTTCTTTGAATGAAATGGGTCTGAGGCTGGCAAATTACATTTAGCCTTTTTTTCCTGTTCACCTTTTTTCCTTTTCCTTCAAAGTGCAGCAATTGATTTTCACTTGCAGTCTTGGTGGACTTTTAATTTGATTTAGTTCTTCACTGCCATTCCGTAAGATTTCAATAATAGTTCCTTACATGTTTTAGATCACGTGATTACACAGGATTATAGGATGATACCTCTAATCATTCTAAATACTGCACAGTGAATAAAACTAAATTTACACTTATCGAGCATACAATATTTAGCACAGTGCCTGGCACATAATATATATTCAGTAAGTAGTTGTTGAATGAATGATTGAATCAATATAGGATATTTTGAGTTTATTCTCACATGTGCCTTTTTGTTTTAGGGTATTAAAAATGAATCAATTTGTGACTCCTAGGGTATATAGTTCACCAACAGTCTTTTTATGGCTACAGTTCACAGGTACTTGACCTTACATTGTCTGAGTGTGCAGGGCTACTGATAAGGAGATAAGACTGAAAACAAAAGCAAGGATATAATGTGTATATTTATTTTCTGTCTTCAAAGGCTGAAATCACATACCTTTGTATTGCTTGTACTTTGAGTTATTCAGATTTTATTACAGGTTAATTCATCAAGTGGTTTGTGTGCTGGTTTCCTATGTTTGCTTATCCATGACTGTGAATTGCCATTTGGACTAGATCTTTTTTATTCTTTCAGATTTTATATTCATTTCCACTGGTATCTTATTTTGGTTTATCTTCATGCTTATATAATACTATTATATAAGTATGTATCCTCTGTTGTTCAGGCAGACTGTTTTGGGGCCATTCTATCCATCTCTTCCCTCCCAGTCAGGAGGGTCATTCGGTGACCATATTCCCCTTGGAAGTGGAAGTGAAGACATGTAGACTCTCTCTCCCTCCTTCCTTCCTTCTCTCCCTCTGTATGTTTAGATAATTTGTTTTCTTTTAACTGCTTGAAATTTATCTGGATGTGAGCAAGACTAGAATTTAATTTTCTCAAAGCATTTCTTAGGTCACTTCTATCCCTTGTCACCTTGGTACCTTACATTTGCCTAAAATGAAGTCTAGCCTCTCTATACCAAGCCAATAAGGCCTCCTAGAATCTGGCCTTACTCTACTAGGCCTCATTCTATATTCTGTACTCCAGTAAAACTATACCACTTGTTTTCTTATCTGCCTCCAAACTTTTTAGTTTTTTTCCTTTGTTCATGTTGTTTCCTCTGTCTAGACTTACTTTCTTTCTCATATTGAATTTTAAAAGCTATTTTAGGAAAAACAGAATTATTTTAACTCATCCCATCCTTTGAGAATTTGTTGGCAAGCAGGAGTCTATTGCTCCAAAAGTTCTTTATTGGTACCATTCTAAGAACATTTATTTCTATTCTATATCATAAATGCATGTATGCTTATATTATTTTCCTGATTAAATTATAAGCTTGTTGAAAAAATCAAGTTCATTATTCAATTCAGTGTATTTTCTGAATTGCTTTCCACAATGCTTAGTACATTTATTCATTGAGAATATATTTATTAAAACTATACTAGGCCTTAGAGAGTCTAATAAATAATAATAGATATTGTTTTGGGGTACCTATTAAATCCCCAGCAATTGTCTAGTTACTTTATATCAATTCATTTTAACATGTGATAGGAAGTTATTTTTTACTTTATAGCTAAGGATACTGAGGTTTTGAGAGGTCTATAGACTTATTAAGCAAATATTTATTGAGTATCTGCTATGTGCCAGGCAAGTAACTTGACCAAAATTGTAGTTACTAAATGAAAGCTGGTGCCTCAGCCAGGACTTCCTAACTCCATAGCCTATATTTTTTCATTAGACCATGTTGTCAGTCCTTGCCTTGCAGAAGCTCAAAAGTTGGTAAAGGAGATACACATGAACAATGATAATTGTAACAACATATGAGGAGTACAGTTAATCAAAGGGTGACGAAAGTGTGGTGGAGAAAGTGATGAATATTCTTAGGAGGAATCTAAGGAAACCTTATTTAGTTGGTGCTATTGGACAAGGGTGTTGAAGAATTAATATAATGTGGCTTCCCCTTGAAGTATGAGTAATAGAAAATGCAAAGTCAAGGAGATATAGGAGAACCTTATATGATTTAGAAGGACAAGAAGGTAGATGAGGTTAAACTGAAGAGGACACTGAGTATTGAAAGATAAATGGCTTTTCCACTTAATTCATTATTTATTAAATATTTGTCATTTTCAAGAAACTTTTCTGGGCTCTGTGGCCTAGGTCTTTGAAATGAAAAGAATAATGCCCTAAGGAGCATCACAGCAGATGCTAAACTGTGCCATGTGCCATATAGCTGCTTGCAGAAAGGAAAATTCTCTTCTGGGTAGGGGACCAGGAACAGTAGCATAGAAAACTCACATTTGTATTAGGACTTGAGGGGTCAATAAGAAATACTCAGTTTTCTAAATTTAATAATTTTAAAATCTCAGTGTGTTTAAAATATCCATGTGTTTAGATGATAGGGTCCGTGTCATAGTATTTTCATTTTATGAATGATGGGTAAATGTAGATTAAGTCAATTACTGATGGTATAATTTAAAAAGTGATTTCATTTCCACTATTTGCTACTTCAGATTGTTTACTCTCGGTTTTAACTTTGTCTTAAAAATGTATTCTTCTGTTTGCTGATTTTTCAGAATTTTAAAGTTCAAGTCCTCAGCTTCCTCTGGACTCACACTCAAAACAAGGTACTTGTATTAGTCCATTTCTGTTGCTTATAAGAAAATATCTGGAACTGGGTGATTTATAAGAAAAAGAAATTTATTGTTTATGGTTTTGGAGGCTGGGAAGTTCAAAGTGCAGGGAACACATTTGGTGAGGGTCTTGGTAGTGGTGACAGTAACCCAGGGGTCTCACATGGTAGAAAATGGCAGAGCAAAGAGAGACTAACTTCTCATGTGCTCTTCTTTCAAAGCCCTCAGAACCACTCCCATGACCACCATTATTAATCCATTCACTACTGCATGGTACTACAATCTAATCACCTCTCCAAGGCCCCACCTTTCAATTACCATAATAGAATTTCCTACCCTTGACAGTTAAACGTGGGAATTAAGCTTCTAATATATGAACCTCAGGGACACAATTCAATCAGTCCACAGCAGTACCGTCACAAGGAGTGTCAGTGAGTCAGAACAAAGCTGGGGAAAAAAATCGTGAAACAAGACCCTTAGAATGAAAAATATACTCTCTTGAAATGATGGCTTCCTCATTTAAAAAAAAAGGATGATTATAAGAAGCTTAGGTTTCAAAAATTATTCTCAACTTATGCTGATTCATACATTTTCACCATAAAGTACACTTAATACTTCTTGAATCTGACAGATGTAAAGAGGGACTGTTGACATTATCTCATATTTTTCATATGGTCCATCCCCTTCACTGCTTTGCTCCTCCCCCACCATCAAGCATACCAAAGAAACAAAGTCCAGTTCATTTTTTAGGTATTGTTTCCAATCAAGGAGTACAGAGAAGAGGTATCTTATATCTGACTTATGAGTGAATGAGTTTAGATTTCAGAAGGCTAACTTGTCCTGCTAATAGATGGAGAATCAGAATTCAAACTCAGGTCTGGCAGACTCAGAACCTTCATACTCCTTTCACTAAATCATACTACTTATGGGGACCTGCACAATTATGAGTTACTTCTTGTTTAATGTCCAAGGTAGGATAAAAATTAAGTTTTTCTCATCCTGTTGCCTGATGAGATTCTCCAGAAAAGTGTTTGGTGCTGATAATTTTTTTCAATTGTCCCTTCTTCAGACTCTTTTACACCTTCTTTTCTTTTTTGTAGGGTACAGTGTGTTGTTTCAGTACGTGAATATTTTGCACAACGATTCACATGATTCGCTTAGGGTAGGCAGCATAGTTTCGTCCCCTTTAGTTCACCCCTCTTCTTCCTGCCCATCCCCACCCCTCCCACCTGTGGTAACCATTATTCCACTCCGTACTTTTTTTTGTTTTAAACACACAAATATTAATATCCTTTTTGAGAAAGGAACTCTTAAAAATGAATTAGAAAAATCTTAGGTAGAAATTTGGTGAAGAATTGTTTTAAACACACAAATATTAATATCCTTTTTGAGAAAGGAACTCTTAAAAATGAATTAGAAAAATCTTAGGTAGAAATTTGGTGAAGAACATGAACAGATAAGTCACACATCCCAAAGAAACACCCATGGTTGATAAGTATATTCTAGGATCTGGTTGTGAGCAGGGGCAGGCATGGCCCAGCCACCATCTCATGATCCCGGGTGTTGGGCAGGCTCCGTAGCTGGCCTGGATTTGTGGTGGTGGGGGTGGGGCTAAGGCCCATGACCCTTGTCTCCCAGGGCCCCCCTGGGCACCTTTTCCTCTTATCTGCACAATGTTTTTATTTGAAATGAGGATAAAGTTCCTTGATTGTTTTTCTGAAATTGCTAGATAATGTCCTTTTGACCTAGGCAAGGCTTGAATACCATTTCTAAAGTACTGGCTATACAATTTTTGTGTTGATGAGGTAAGGTTTTCTTTCCTTGTCCAGATTTGATGTTTAATATATGTTGTGTTTGTTTGTTTGCTTGCTTTTGTTTTTACCCTGTGCAGGACCCAGTTGTAGCAAATGCTGCATATAAATCTCTGTCCCACTTTAGTGCAGGAGAACACACCATTCTCCATCTGCCTGAAAAGGTAGGCATTTATACTTTCTCATTAATATCTCTTTCCTTTGCTGGGTTTTATGGCTTTATTTGTATCCTCCCTTAGGAGATCTTTAGCTGATGAATGTATATGTAACACTAGGTGTATTGTCTTTACAAGATAAGACTTCACATTCATTATTTGTTTAATTCGTAAAACACTATAGCAGTCTTAGGCTTTACAGATAATGAATTTAAATCTTTTTGAAGCAGATGGAAGACACCTGTGATGCAAATGAAGTCTTCTTAAGGTGACTGTGTACATGGTTTGCTCTAGAAGATCTGTGCCCCTATTTCAACCACTTGGCCAAGTCAGTGTACCATTTTGGTCTTCAAATCCAAACATGGCCTGTGTAGGCTAAGATTTTATACCACCTGTGTAGCCAAAGGTTTTTATTATAAAAGATATACTACTTAGCCTTCCTCTTACCTTCTTTAGCATCCTACCCCCCAAAAAAAGAAAAAAAACAAAAACAACAACAAAAAAAGAAACTACAGAGAGTGTTTTTCTGGTGAAAGATAAACATTTAGATAGAACATATTGACTGGCTAAGATTTTATACCACCTGTGTAGCCAAAGGTTTTTATTATAAAAGATATACTACTTAGCCTTCCTCCTACCTTCTTTAGCATCCTACCCCCCAAAAAAAGAAAAAAAACAAAAACAACAACAAATAAAGAAACTACAGAGAGTGTTTTTCTGGTGAAAGATAAACATTTAGATAGAACATATTGACTCACCTCTCTGTTTCATTAAAAAATATTCAGCTATTTAAAAAATAAACTTTTTATTATGGAGATCTTAAGGTAGACTGTTTGTTAACTTCTGGAGTTAATTTTAGAGGTAATGTAAAAGAGCTCATTATGCATCCAAGGTTGGTATAAATATGGTGTAACCCATTTGGCTTTGATTTAAGTGGATGTCACTGCATTCATCAGAAGCTGTTTCTTCTTTTAGCTGAATTCATGCAGATACTTGATGTGTTCCAAATAAAGTCCTCTGTTTATGCACAAACTCTTGAATTTTCATAGGTTTCACACACAGAAAGGTGGTTGAAAGGTTATCTGGCTTGGAACCCACAGTGAGGCATTTTGTAGGATAAGCTTTCTAGTATTCAGTTTAAAGAAGATTTTAAAATTTGTCATTTTATGTTTGCCTTTCCGTTTAAGTTTTTTCAACAAAGCTTAGCTATAATTGGAAGGGCTTTGTTGTTGGTGGTGTGTTGTGTGTGTTTTAAACATATGCAGTTTTTCCTGGGTGTTTTAGCAGCTAATATAATATGATTGCCTACATTTTGTAACTTTAACAGGTATTCTTTCATATGGCTTCTCTTGATTCTCCCTAGTTGTACTCACAATGAATGCACGCAAACCAAGGGAAAAAGCTGGTATTAGCATAGGGAAGCTAGAACAAATAATTCTTTAAGAGATGAGCAGAGGAGGAGGGAAATGTAATGGAGCCAAGTTCAAAAAGTAAGTGCTAATTTGTCTAAGAAAATCAGCTCACATTTGAGGAAAAAATGGAAGAAGTGATCATACCTTTATAAATACTTAGAGTGTGTCACCTATATTTAAATTACAGTACATCTGCAATTCTTTATTAAATTTTATGCATATTTGAGATGCAAACAAAATGCTATTAGCTACATAGCAGATAAACTAATATAGGCACCCCGTTAAGTGGATATGAAATTAGACAACCTAAGATCAGAGGATGGATCAATTTTCTTTATTCTTATCCTGGCACCTCTTTTTTTAGTGGCTCTTAGAAATATTGGTGGACTGGGTGATGTGAGTTATTTTAAGTAATTTACATTGAGCAGAAGGACTGGGTAAGATAAAATGTGTGCAAAATGATTATATCACCTGTTCACAGTAGACAATTTCCCCCAAAGAAATCTTCATCTTCTTCAGCTGAGATTCAAAATACCAGAAGTGGGACTTAGCAACCACATGATTAGGCTCAAAGATTTGCATGCGGTAGTAGGGTGGCATGTGGTATTTGGGAGTGGGCAGGCAGTGCCTCTGCACCTTGTTCTCTCACAGTGGACCTGAGGCCTTCATGGCACTCCCTCAGAGCTGACTGCCACCCACCAAAACCCTCCCTCCCTTTTTAAACAGCTTTATTAGCATATGATTCACATACTATACAATTCACCCATTTAAAGTATACAATTTAGTGGTTTTAGTATATTTAAGGGATTTTACAATAACAGAGCAACTGTAATCTAATTTTAGAACATTTTTCCCACCATTAAGAAACTCTATTCACAGTCAAACCCCATTATCCCTTCTTCTCCCCCAGAACAAGCAACCACTGATGAACTTTCTGCATATAAGTTTGCCTATTCTGGACCTTTCCTATGAATGGAATCATATAGGATGTGGTCTTTTGTGACTGGCTTCCTTCACTTGGCATAGTGTTTTCAAGGTTTTTTATTACATAGCATGTATCTATACTTTATTCCTTTTTATGGCTGAATAATGTTCTATTGTATGAATATACCATGTTTTGTTATACATTTATCAGTTTATGGACATTTGGGTTGCTTCCATTTTTTGGTCTATTATGAGTAATGCTGCGATGAAAATTCATGTGCAAATTTTTGTGCAATTATATGTTTTCATTTCTCTTGGTTATATACCTAGGAGTGAAATTGCTGGGCCACATGGTAACTCTGTTTTACTGTTTAAGGTACTAGGATGTGTAAAAAGTAAGTAAGCAAGGCAGAGGGATCCAGAACCAATTCCTTTTTAAGGACTTTTTAAGTTACTAGGTCTGGTTAGAATCTCTAATACAGCTCCTGATGATACCAAACCTAGAGAATTCTAAGTTTGTACCCAGACCAGAGACACTTGGAAAACCCTGCTAATCAGAAACCAAAAGGTTTGCAAACATGCCTGGATATGTTTCTCTGGTAGGCAGTGATATCAACAAATGCCGTCATGCCCTATTTGGAGCATGCTTGATAGATATCGCTGTAAGTATGGCTAGTTCAGCCCTCTGAGAATTAGGCACTCAATATTGAATCCAAATTAAATCTGGCTTTGGTAAGTGCTCAGGTAGTCAGGTTGCTTTCACTCCTCTTCACTAGTGGAGAGAACACTAGTTATGGTTAAAGGCTTCATTGGAGTTCAGATTATTATACTTAAGAGCAGCATTTCTTCTCTATTTCCATTTATCCCCCTGAAAGAATCCTGACTCAGTGCAGTTCCTAAGTGGAACAGTGCTTTGGGGACCTATGATGAAGGCAGTCTGCAGGAATTGTTAATTATTTCTAAAAATAACTCTGGGAGACAGGCTAATGGTAATGACTGGGTTCTGACACTTTATGGTTATAGAAACTACTTCTATGTATTTTGATTTCCTCCCCTAATGCTTAATTATCTCCATGTGGGCATTATGATGATGTGTCATTGAAAGTATTAAAAATTTAATTAATTACTTAACAGTTATATCTTGTGGAAACTACAATAGTGGTAATCTTTTTATATTTAAAAAAATTTTTATTCTTAGGTTTCAAACAAACCTAAGTAATCACAGGACAACCACAAAATCTTTAAAATGCAAATTAAACACAATAAAGTATAGCTACCAATTACAGATTTTAGTGTTTTTATATCACATAGCAATAAACTGCCAAGCCCCCCCCCCCCAAAAAAAGTCAACTAAAGGATTCTGTCATTCCCTGATCTCTACTATATATTCTATTGGAAGATTTTAAACTTTGTCATAGAGAAGTATGAATAGAATCAAGAATTTAAGAAAAAAGTATTCAGATAAGGCAAATAATTATAAACTATAGAAGTTCAATATATTGAATATGTCAGTGTTTGTATTTTATTGTCAGATGGTGTAGAATTTTATTAGTTTTCTATAATAGTCCTTGTTTATGTTGGCTTATTTTCTTATTGTATTCTATTAATTCTTTAAATGGATCTGAGATTTATTTAATAAGTCGACTAGAGTTTACCATTTAGTTAATCTGGAAAATAAATAGATTTTTAAAAGTTAATTTTAATGGTCTTTTGACATTGTAGAGTGATGGTGTCTAACAAAATTTTTAAATCTTGACATAAAAAAGACAAAGCAAATATTTTACACAGTGTTTTAGTATCATCTTCTCCATAATCTTATCACTTATCATTACAGATAAGACCAGAAATCCCAATTCCTGATGAGTTAGATGAAGATGAAGATGATGAGGATATGGATCTTTCAGTGCCTGGCTCTTGCTATCTCCAACTATTGTCACTCACTGCTCCATTGGTTTTGCCAGGTGACTCCTACTTGGTAGCAGGGAAGCTAGCATATTTTAGTGATTTTTACTTGTCTGATTGTGTTCTTTTGTGATATGTACATGCTGTAGTTTAATCTTAGTATTTATTTTCTAACTGAAATGCTAAATGCACCCATCTATTCTATAAGAACTGCTTGAAGGTAGTACAGTGTTCAAAACACACCAAAAAATGTTAAACTTGAGTAAATTGAACTGGAGAACTAGTTTAAACAACTATTTTCACTGATAATTAAAATTCATTTCAAAAGCTGGGTTTATAAGACAAATTTGCAGTGGGACTCTAAGTCACTATTTTAAATAGTTTTTTTATTATATAAACTAAGTGAAAATATCATTAGACTATTTGGAGATTTACAGGATAGTTTCATCATTATAAATTTATTCTTTCTATAGAATTACTCCAAAAATATTTCTGATATTTGAGAGCTATAAATTAATGCTTTCAAAAAATGTATCAAGTTGTATGGTCATTGGGTTTTGATATAGCGCTAATATGGCCTCTAACTTTTAAAAAATTATTGTTATGCATACATGTGGTAATCATTCCATTTGTACGCCAGGTTTAGAAATACTCACCTGCTCCTATTACTATATGCTCTACCCAAGAAATGGTAGGTGAGTCATATCTGTAAAATTTGATTACAACTGTGACTGGAAATTTATATCATTTTATTTTAAATTTTGTTTTCTGATTATTAAAAAAATTTTAAGATTCTGCAAGTGATCCACTGTGATTAAGTAGCTTTTCAGTATTAGCCAGCATTTTGTTGTGTTCTGTTCCAATTCTACCTTGAATATTCTTGGATGTAAAAATTTAATTACTGAAAATGAAGTTCAGTAAAATCAAAAAATGTGTTCTTATTTTCTCAGTCATTATCACACTAACCTGTAATGTTGGAAGTTTTTTTTCTTGGTTTTATCCCACATGGAGATTCCTGGGAAATTCAGCTGAATATGTACTAATTTATTTCTAGACAAAGCTCCTTTCCCAAATCCCTGCCTCCTTTCATTACAAAAAACTGAATGGTACAACTTAGACAGAGTTCACCTTTTCTTTTCTCCTTATTTCTGGAACAAGCCTCGAAGACTTGCTCACTCCTCCTCTCTTCTGTTCTTCCCCATTTCCTACCTCATAGCTCTCCAGAGTCAGGATCTCTCCTGAAATTAATAGTGAGTCTGAATCCAAGGGGGGAAAAAGCCTTCAGTTATCCTAAATTCCTCCTGTGTCTTAAAGTAACCTTAGAGTCAAAAATCCTTTTGGGCTTTTTGAATGATTTGTTCCCTCTTAAACGTGTTCCCCATTGCAGACTTGTGGTATTAGAAAGAGAAGGGGAAAGATATTTGTTGCCAAGACACACTGTTGTTTTTGTTCTCCCAGTATGTGCAGTGCTCTGGTGGCCATTAATTAGCTTTTCTACACTGTTTGTACTTGGTGCTCACCAGTGCCTTTCCCAGAGAAAGAAGGGGAAGAATTGAGGTCAACAATTGCATTTGTTTGAGAAAATTCAATAAAATTGGAGTGAAGTGGGTGGACTACATGCTATCTATGTCTAGCAGACTATGTCACTGTGGACAAAGTTCTTCATTTTTCTGTGCCTCACTTTCACTCTGATTACTAGAGAACTAAACAAAGAACCAGGAAAAGGGCACCTGCCTTAGGAACATATACACTAAAACACACAGGGTGGCTGATATATGTTAGTCTCTAAGTACTGAAGGCAGAAAAATGGATTGCACTGAAGTTAAGTGAATCCTGACCATTCTCCCTTCTTAATTCCTTGTAAATGAACATAAAAGCGGTTGCAAAGTAAATCCAGTAATTTGCATTATATTAAATAAGAATGTTACTGGTATAATTTTTTTTAAAAAAAATAATTTTTAGAAATAATTTTAGACTTATAAGAAGTTGCAAAAACAGCTTAGAGAAAAAAAAAAATAATTTTTAGAAATAATTTTAGACTTATAAGAAGTTGCAAAAACAGCTTAGAGAGTTCCCGTGTGTCTTTTACCCAGAGCTCCCATTGATGACGTCTCACATAACTTTAGGAGATTATTGAAACAAGAAGATTGACATTGGCACAATATTATTAACTAAACTATAGACCTATTTGGATTTTATCAGTTTTTTTTTTCAGTATGTAAACTTTTGGGATTAGTTTTTTTTTTCCCCCCGTAACTCAACATAGTGTCTTTGAGATCCTTCCAAATATTTGCCTGTATCAGTTGTTAGTTCTTTTTTATTGCTGAGTGGTATTCCATCATATGAATGTATCCACTCAGGCACTGAAAGACAATTGGGTGGTTTTAAAAATTTATATCGGACACCCTGTATTATTTTCACATTCTCACCTGATGTCTGTGAGGAAGAGACTAGGGAAAGGCTCAAAGACAATGGAAAATATCCTAGTTGCTAGCTTAGTAGCTGGGGGAAGATGGAGCTACACACTAAACATCCTGGCATCTTATCCTCATTTAAATTATTCTCTGGGTTGGAATTGAAAATACCTAGTTTGCTGTAGAGCTTGACAAGTAGACAAATTTCCACTGATGAGTTAGTCCATGTGCTGATGTGTACTTGTCCCTTGGCATGTATCAGTATAGATTCCCTTCTGAGAACGCCTGAAATTTCCTTCTTTCACTATAGTGTCTCTGTCTTCACAGACAGATGATTTGTAGACATGAGCGTACTTTATAAAGTTCATGAAGAGATTCACATTATCTTTTAATTTCATTTTTCCATGGACTTTTTGAAGTATCCTCCTAGTTCTGAAAAGTCTATACTCATACCCAGCTTGAAGCAGTCATACTTGTATTATGAGTAGGCAGGAATAGGGGTATATGGCCTACAGTTGGCTATTACTCATCCTTTTTTGTTTCGATGATGTGTTGATCAAAGTTGTGACAGAAAAGGAGACACATTCAGATGGAGTAATTGAAGAGAGTTTAATAACGGGTCTATTTACAATTGTGTTTTCAAGGCTGAGAGAATCAGTTAGTTAGAAGTGCTATAATACCAAGGTCAAGGGTTTGGATCCTTGTACCAGTCAGCTGCCAAAAGAAAGAAAAAGGTTAAGGGAAGTCCACAAGAGGTGGTAATCATCCCAGAGAACTCACCTTCCCTTGGCCTGTGGAGGTGAAGGGAGGGAGAAGAAGAGAGAGCATCTGTATCATGAACAGGGCTGCCTACAGGGAGCCAGGACCTTCAGAAGAGAGATGCAGGCAACATGTCGCAATCCTGGAGGAAGGTGTCTGGGGAATGCATTCCTTGACCTCACTCTGTTTTCACTCTCTGATCACCTGACAGTTTCTCTCAGTGGTTGAAGCCAACCAGAAACCACAGGACGAGGGAGTTTGTTGATGTATTTCTTAAAGATTACTCTCCCAGTGCACAGAGCAGGGTTGAGAAAGGCCTGGCATCTTATCCTCATTTAAATTATTCTCTGGGTTGGAATTGAAAATACCTAGTTTGCTGTAGAGCTTGACAAGTAGACAAATTTCCACTGATGAGTTAGTCCATGTGCTGATGTGTACTTGTCCCTTGGCATGTATCAGTATAGATTCCCTTCTGAGAACGCCTGAAATTTCCTTCTTTCACTATAGTGTCTCTGTCTTCACAGACAGATGATTTGTAGACATGAGAGTACTTTATAAAGTTCATGAAGAGATTCACATTATCTTTTAATTTCATTTTTCCATGGACTTTTTGAAGTATCCTCCTAGTTCTGAAAAGTCTATACTCATACCCAGCTTGAAGCAGTCATACTTGTATTATGAGTAGGCAGGAATAGGGGTATATGGCCTACAGTTGGCTATTACTCATCCTTTTTTGTTTCGATGATGTGTTGATCAAAGTTGTGACAGAAAAGGAGACACATTCAGATGGAGTAATTGAAGAGAGTTTAATAACGGGTCTATTTACAATTGTGTTTTCAAGGCTGAGAGAATCAGTTAGTTAGAAGTGCTATAATACCAAGGTCAAGGGTTTGGATCCTTGTACCAGTCAGCTGCCAAAAAAAAGAAAAAGGTTAAGGGAAGTCCACAAGAGGTGGTAAATCATCCCAGAGAACTCACCTTCCCTTGGCCTGTGGAGGTGAAGGGAGGGAGAAGAAGAGAGAGCATCTGTATCATGAATAGGGCTGCCTACAGGGAGCCAGGACCTTCAGAAGAGAGATGCAGGCAACATGTCGCAATCCTGGAGGAAGGTGTCTGGGGAATGCATTCCTTGACCTCACTCTGTTTTCACTCTCTGATCACCTGACAGTTTCTCTCAGTGGTTGAAGCCAACCAGAAACCACAGGACGAGGGAGTTTGTTGATGTATTTCTTAAAGATTACTCTCCCAGTGCACAGAGCAGGGTTGAGAAAGGGTAGAGGGTAGATCTGGAGAGGTTAATGGAAAACATCTCACATCGGTGTTTTATGAGCTTTGAATGGAGAGGCTTAGTTGCATCTAGGAGGGCTCTATGTAGGAAGGATAGAACTGGGCACATAATAGATGATCCAGTGAGTGCTTGCTACCTTTAATTTAATCACGGTCATCTACGAGAGACTTTTAGATAGATCTATTCAGAATGAAATTCCAGTGTATTTAAGTGGACCCTTGCTTTTTGTTCCTGTAAGAGGTACATGCAGCTTTTTTGTTTTCCATTCCATATGATTTGTTTAGCTTTAATGTTTTTTTTTGGTTTTTGTTTCTGTATTGGGCAACCTCTAGTGGTTCTTAGGAAAATAACACTTGATTATAAACCTTCAGTTTTATCAAAGTCTGTTTTGTTTGGGCATCCTATTGTCTTCTGATCCCACATTTCTGTGTTATTTTGTAATAAGTAAAATGTCAAGCAATAAAGTTCTTGGGCTTAATTTGAAGGAACATAAGCAAAGAATAGTAAATGAATTTTTCATTTTTTAATAATTGTACTAATATTGCTACAGAATGATGGATAGTCATGAAAGACCTGTCTGAAAACACCTAAATGACAAGAAGTAGTCAGTCACATGAAAATCTGGGACTACTGTGTTCCAGGTAGAAGGAACAGCCAAGTGCAGTGGCCCTGACTTAGATACCAACTTTGTGTTTTTCAGGAATCTAAAAAGGCCTTGATGTGTGGCTTTGACATAACAAGGAGCGAGGGTGGTAGAGGTGAGGTCAGAGAGGGAGTCAGGGGCTAGATTATAAAAGGCCTTGATTATGGTTAGAAGTTGTGATATTCTATGCACAGTGAAAAACCACTGGAAGGTATTAGGAAAGGGAATGACAAAATTCTGGCTTCTGGGTAGAGATAAGTTTGTATGAGTGGTCATGAGGAAAAGAAACCAAGAAACTAGTTTTTACATTAAGTCTATGTGAGGAAAAGAGAAGATGATAACTAGGCAAGTAGTAGTGTAGCGGTGAAAATAGAGAGAAATTCATGGATTTGGGATATATTTTGAAGGTGGAGTCTGAAGGCTTTGCTAATGGATTACATATAAAAACTGAGAGAAAGAGAGGAATTAAGGATGACTTGCAAGTTTTTAAACTTCAGCTACTGGGTGCCATGTTCTAATTTGGGGAAGACTAAGAAAGGGATGGGGATTAAGAGTTTTCTTTTTTACCATGTGATCTTTGGCTTGAAATATAGCTTAGTTTTTTATATATGAGTTAAGAATGAATGTTTCTCTTCTAGCATACTTTTGGTCTCTTTTTATCCTCTTTCAGCTTTGGAAGAATTTTTTACATCGCTTGTGAAACAAGAAATGGCAAATATGCCCCGTGGAATATATCACTCTGCATTAAAAGGAGGTACCCGCTCAGACCAAGGAAAGACTGTAGCAGGAATCCCCAATTTTATCTTGAAAATGTATGAAACAAACAAGCAACCAGGATTGAAACCTGGCCTTGCAGGTAAGGATAGTGCATAGAGTCAAGGCACAAGTTTTTAATGTCATGATTTAATTTCCACTTCATAGATGGAATGTCTTGGATCATGCAGGGCATTGCTGCAGCAGCTGGTAACATCTAGACACAGCTGGATAAATTACAAAAATAAATAGTTACATTTTAAAAGGCATCAGAAATCTGTAGCAGCAAAGAAAAATAGATGGACCAAAATTCTAGGGTGGGCAGAACCCTAGAATTTTAGAACTCTTTCTTCCCCCCTTGGGGGCATTCACTGATTCTGATTGTGTGCTAGGATTGAAAGTTGACCCCGGTGAAGGCCTGGCCTGTTGAAGGAAAGAGAAACCAGTAGAGCTCTTAGTGGTTGCATGAGACTAGAGTGATGAATTAGTCTCCTTATTGGACATTTACTTAATTTTTGAGTTTGTACCAAAAGCTAAAGAGCTAGGCTGAAAGCTTCTGAAAGGCAAAGTGAAGTCTCCTTTAGTCTTGTGGTGCTTAGGAAACAAAAACTGGCTGGGAGAATGGGCCTGAAAACAAAGCATGTAGAAGGGGAAAGCTGTAGAGACAGTGCTGAATTGATACTGAAGATCTACAGGCGCACTCAGATTGTGCATTTACTAATTCCAGCCGTAGCTGGAGGCTGAGCATTTAGGCTCAACCTTAGCAGGAGGCTGGTGCAGGATATGAAGAAACCAACAGAGAGATCTTGGCATTCATGTGGTACCAGAGTGACAAAACTCAGAACTTGGGAGACCTCCAACACAAAGCCTGTTTTTCCTGTAAAATATTTGCCACATTTTGACGCTTTATGGGAGGCTAAGGAGCTAAGCTGAAACCTTCTGAGGGCAGATCGGAGTCTCCCATAATCTTTCCAGATTGAGGAGTAGAAGACCCGTTAGTCTGTCAGTTGAAAATCTTGGGGGGTGGGGAAAGACATGCTCTAGGAACAGGAGTGCACCAAAGGTAGACTGAAATTTACCAAAACTATAATCAAACCTAACCCAGATCGATCTCTGATTAGCTTCACCTAATCTGCCTAACAAGGGGGAGAAGAAAACTACAGTCTGATAAACAATAACATCATTTAGAACTTCTGTAGTTCTTTCATGTACTGTCCAGTATACTAGACATATGGAAAAGTACTAGGCATGAAAAGAAAAAAAAAAAAGCTAGAAATGACGGGGACAATTCATGGACATAAACAAGTCACTCCATTAGGAAAATATCACAATTCTAATTGGTGTACATGAAATAACATAGCTTCAAAATATATGATAAAAGTGAGCAGAACCAGAAAAACCCATAGTAATGATAGAAACTTTAAAATATCTTTTTCAATGATTGGCAGAGCAAGCATACAACAAAATCAGTAAGTTTACAAAATATCTGAACAACACTATGAGCAAACTTTATTGATGTATAGAACATTGTGCCTCACAATGATAGAATTCATATTATTTTTAACTGTACATTGAAAAATTACCATAACGCTGGACAATAAATGTCAACAAATTTCAAAATATTGAAGTCACTTAAAGTTTATCCTCTGATGACAATGGGATAAAGCTAAAAATAAATAAAAGACAACTAAAATACCTTCAGTTAGCTGAAAATTGAACAGGATATTTCTGAATAACTCACGGATCAAAGAAAAAAATCGAAGTGGGAATTATAAAATAGTTTAAACTGAATGATAACAAAGATAAGGAGTATAACAACTTGTATAATATAGCTAAAATAGTGTTTACAGGGCAATGTACACCTCAGTATGTATATTAGAAAAGAAGAAAGTAATCATGATTTGAATTTCCATCTCAAGCTTGAAAAAGAAGAGCAAATCAAACTTAAAAGATAAGGGAAAAATAATAAAAATAACAAAAATCAGTGTAATAGAAAAGAAAATAAAGAAAATTAGCAAAGCCTAAAGTTGATTCTTTGAAAAATTTTAAAAAAATTGATAAATCCAGTATATTTATTAATCTTATTTAGCCATTTATTATCCATGTCTAGATAATAAAATACAGAAAACACAGGCTATATATATCAGGGACAACAAAGGAATCCTACAGCATTCAAAAAGATAAGAAATATTATGAGGACATTTTTACAGTTTACAATATTTTTACAATTTAGATGAGATGTAGAAATTCCTCAAAATACAGAACTTACCAAACTGACAGAAGGAAAAATAACTATATGAATAATTTGATACATATCACGGAAATTGAGTCTGTAAACTAACGACCTTATCACAAAAAATAACCCAAAGTACAGATCTCTTCCTTGATGAATTTTCCTAAAAATTGAGAGAGAAATAATAGTGATCTTACACAACTGTAACAGAGAACAGAAAAAAAAAGAACACCCTTTTTAGGGGATCAGCATAATCAGAATACCAAAACCCAACAAGTGCTTTACAAGAAGGGAATAATACAGAGCGTTCTTTTCCATAAACATAAATGCAAAAATCTGAAACAGAATATTAGAAAATTAAATTAAGCAGTATATACAAAGAATTAAGAGGGGTTAGTTTAATGTTTGATAATTGATTTAATTCATTGCATTAAGAGAAAAAGGCAGAGCAATCTTTAAATGGTTTCAATAGTGCAGAAAAATCCTTTGAATATTTTAGCACCTATTCATGATACCAAAAATACCCTCTCATTATGAATATAAGATAACTTATTTTATTCTGATAAAGAACATCTACCATATAATATTTGTACTTCATATTGAAATATTTAAACCTTATTCCCTGAGATTGGGAAAGAGATATGGATGGTTATTATCACCACTATTATTTAGTGCTGTACTAGAGAACATAGCAAGTGCAATAAGCCAAGAAAAAGAAATAGAAGTCATATGGATTAGAAAGGAAGAAATAAAACAGTCATTATTTGCAGGTGATATGATTGTATACATAGAAAATCCAAAATAATCTACAGACTACTAGGGTTAGTAAATGAATTTAGCATGGTTATTACAATACATGCAAAGGTCAACATACAAAAATCAATTGTGTATTTTAATATACCATAAAAAGTAGACAATGAAATTTATTTTATTTTTTATTGAAATATAATTGATTATACATGTTTGTGGGGTACAGAGTTGAATATCAGTACCTGTGTACAATTGTAATGATCAAATCAGGATAAATTATATATTCTTCATTACAAAACATGATCATTCTTTGTGATCCTTAACCAATTTCTCACAACCCCCCTCCACCACCTTTCCTATCTCTAGTAACCACAGTTCTGTTCTCTCCTTTCAATGTATTATTGTCATTGCTATTTTCTTTTCCTTTCTTCCTTCCTTTTTTTCACTCCCTTCCTCTCTGCCTCCCTCCCCTTTTCCTTCCTTCCTCTCCACCACCCTCCCTTCCTTCTTTCCTTCCATCCTATCTATTTATTTTTTAGATCGAACTTAAGATTGAGGACAAGTGGTCTTTCTCTTTCTATGCCTGGCTTATTTCACTTAACATAATTTTTTTCCAAGCTCATACATGTTGATGTGAATGGCAGAATTTCATTCTTTTTTATACCCAAGTAGTATTCCACATGTATCTATAGCACATTTTCCTCATCCAGTCATCTGTTGATGGACATTTAGGTTGGCTCTATATCTTAGCTGTTGTAAATAGAGCTTTGATAAACATGGGAATGCAAGTATCCCTTCAACATGACGATTTCCATTCCTTTGGGTATATACCCAGTAGTGGAACTGCTGGATTGTATGGCATTTCTATCTTCAGTTGTTTGAGAAGCCTCCATATTGTTTTTAATAATGTCTGTACTAATTTACAGTCTCACTAGTATTGTGAAAGGGTTCCCCTTTCTCCTCATTCTCATCAGCATTTGTTATTCTCTGTCTTTGTGATAATAGCCAGTCTAGCTGGGGTGAGATGATATCTCAGTGTGATTTTGATTTGCATTTCCCTGATGATTAGTGCTGTTGAATATTTTTTCATATACCTGTTAGCCATTTCTATTTTTTCTCTGGAGAAATGTCTATTCAGCTCCTTTGCCCATATTTTAATCAGATTATGGTTTTTTTTTTTTTTTTTACGGTTGTTTGAGTTCTTTGTGTATTCTGGATATTAATCCCTTGTCAGATGTTTAGTTAGAAAATATTTTCTTCCATTCTGTGGGTTGTCTTTTCACTCTGTTGATTATTTCCTTTGCTGTGCAGAAGCTTTCATGTTTGATACAGTCTCATTTGTTTATTTTTCCTTTTGTCCCCTGTGCTTTTGGGGTCTTATGCATAGTGTTTGTCCAGTCTTACATCCTGAAGTGTTTCCTCTATGTTTTCTTCTAGGATTTTTATAGTTTCAGGTCTTACATTTAAGTCTTTAATCCATTTTGAGTTGATTTAGGTATTTGGCAAGAGGTACCAGTCTAGTTTCATATTTTAGTTTCCTATTTATAGATGTCTAGTTTTCCCAGCACCATTTTTTGAAGAGGTAGTCTTTTCCCCATTGTATGTTCTTGGTGCCTTTGTTGAAGATAAGTTGGCTGTAAGTATGTGGGTTGACTTCTGGGTTTGCTATTCTGTTCCATTGATCTGAATGTCTGTTTTTATGCCAGTACCATCCTGTTTTGGTTTGTATAGCTTTGTAGTATGTTTTGAGGTCAGATAGTGTAATGCCTCTGCTTTATTTATTTATTTATATTTGCTCAGGATTTCCTTGGCTATTTTGGGGTATTTTGTTATTCCATATGAATGTTAGGAGTGTTTTTTCTATTTCTGTGAAGAATGTCATTGGTATTTTGATGTGTAACGCATTGAATCTGTAGATTGCTTTGGGTAGTGTGGATATTTTCAGTGTTGATTCTTCAAAGCCAAGAGTATGAAATATCTTTCCATGTTTTTATGTCCTCTAATTTTTTCAGTAGTGATTTATAATTCTCATTGTAGAGATCTTTTACCCCTTGTTTAAATTTATTCCTAGGTATTTTATTTTTTTGATGACTGTTGTAAATAGGCTTGATTTCTTTTTC